CTTGAAATAGTGTCCTCCTGTTGTGTCTGCCACACTTCGAAAAAGCTAATTTACACTGACATTACTGCCTGGGCTGGAATCGAATGGTAGACCCACCTGATAGTAGTAATCGTCCACCTCAGGATTATTGCTCTGTAGTTGAAGCAGTTGGATCTTTTGGACCCACTCTTTCTCCCGCTGTGTCATCAGGTTTGCATAGTCATCGGTGCTGGCATCCCCACCAGGACCAGGGCGGCGCTGTTCATTGTAACGGTTATGATGAGGTCGCTGGTGTCTGTTGTCTCCATAGCGATTTGGCGTTCTGCATGAATAAAAGATCTAATCTTTAGACCAACCTATTCACCTGTTTTGTCACATCGAGTGGACGGGACTATCTAACTATTCAATCTACAACAGTTTATGTGTAACAAAGAAATTACATGTATTTGAAAATAGCTTTCAAAATAATGCATGGGAATTCACATAGAAGTTAAGGCATAATGAATTAATATTTAAAACATATACTGTATGACCTAGATGTGTATGTGGGACAATCACAGAGCAGTTTTACTACTGAGATTTTAGATCATGCAAGCTTCATTTACAGTGTACCGTATATGTGGTGATGTCATGACATTTCAAATGCCAATGACCACTGTTCAAGAATGAATCAGGCTCAGAAAAATTCCACAGGTCACAAGTAAAGTTTGATAAGTGAAGGTTCTTACTGAGAAAATGGTCTTTGTTGATTGTTGAATGGATACCGCCGTCTCAATCCAGGATCAGAGAAGGGCCGCATTGGAGGAATACTGTAAGAAAAGAACCAAGAGTCAGGGAACATGACTTTCGTCCACATTAAGCAATGTAGATTAGGTTTTCAAGATGAGTACATGTACATGTAAGTCCAACCATTCGAAGATGGCAATTGTTGGGAGAATACCCTATCTGGCCATCAACCAGTGCCCATTCTGATCCACATGCCACTGCATCTACAATGTAATGTTTCACCCACGTGTTGGAGGATGGTGAAATAATTATGTGAATGCTGAGGGAGACATGGTTGAGACCAATGTAATTTGTGTGAAGCTTATTGGACAGGTGGGAAGAAAAAAACATGCACATTAATAACAACCAACCAAGTTAAAATGTAATGCATGGGGTCAATCTTTCTTTTCTTTGAATATCTCATTTTTCTCTTCTCGGAAAGCAGACTCACTGTGGGTGCATAGGTGTCAGGTAGGTGTTCATAGCCCTCCCTGGGCCGGACCCCCGCACGCCTTGAGGGGTGCGCAGGTGTGGTCCTCCGATCACGCTGCCAGGGGGAAATGGCATTATGGAAGTTCGGCCCTGTTGCATCATGGGCGGGCCCTGGCGCTGCTGGTGCATCATGGGTGACATCGGTCGCTGCTGCATCATGGGAGAGCCAAAACGCTGCTGCTGCTGTTGCTGGTGCTGCTGTTGGTGTTGTGGTTGTTGCTGCATTGGAGTTCTGGTGGGAGGGGGTCCTCCAGTGGGTGGGGCCATACCCTTAGCAGGGGGAGTCATGCCAGCTGCCATTGGCCTAGGGAATGGCGAAGCACTGCCTTGCGCCGAATTGGCCATGATGAGTTGACGGATCTGGTTTGGGGAAGCCCGGCCATTGGCTGCCTGCATGCTGAGGACAAGCTGCCTGATGTAAGTGGGTGATACGCGACCTCCAACAGACTGATGAATCTTCTGAACCAACTGCTGCACTGCAGGTGAAGCAGCCAACTGCTGCTGCTGCTGCTGTGGTGTCATAGGCTGACCAGAAGACTGGTCAGAGAGTAAAATGTCCAAAATAAAACATTAAATCATATCATGGATGGTTGCAGAAGTAGTAGGGAAGTGCCGATTCCGACGAAAATTGAAAAGCGTCGTATACCTACCCGACCCTTTTCAAAAATTCCAAAACTCAAAATCAGCAAAATTGCAAAACCCTCCTATACACATGTACATGTACTTACCCGACCCCTTTTCGAAAATTCCAAAACTCAAAATCAGCAAAACTGCAAAACCCTTCTAGACACATGTACCTACCCGACCCTTTTTTCAAAATTTAAAAAGTCGATACATTTACCCCTTAAAACAACAAAAATAGCCCGTTTTTTGGGTCAACATTTCAATTTTGCAAACTCTGGTTTTTTGGATTATTGAAAGGGGTCGGGTAGGTATACAACGGTTTTTCAATTTTCACCAGAAATTGGCACTTCCCTACTACTACTAATACTACTTTCGCTTCAAAAAATATTGACTGGTCAGCACCCTTGGAGGCATCTTTGTAAAACGAAAACTATGGATTAATTACCGAAATAAATTTAGCAGCAATAAAAATGAAAAAATTTCTAACTTATTACATGAAAGTATTTAATTCATATAAGATGCCATCAGATCAAAAACTGAACGTTAATACCAAATTATGTTATAAGCACAATATTCATGGTTATAACACATGTACAAGGAATAAGTTGTTATTAATGAAGTACATCAGTGTCACACGAGGGCGTAAAACCTTGGTACATGTATAATGAATATTCAGCATATTTCAGGACCCACCTTCCTACGTACATGTATAGTAACACGGATAGTATGTAAATTTTTTAACTAATATGACCAAATACGGTTGACGTGGGAAAAATTTGAAAACGTGGAATTTCAAAATTTTAATGATCTCTGTGGGTTTAAAACTGTAGTGAAGCATTGGACAGGCAGCGGACAGATCTTGACATAGGAGACTCGTGATCAGTTTTCGTGCGATTGCACATTTTGATTTCATCAATTGAGTGATAATTGTGAGAATAATTTGAGAAACAGATAGTTTGTGGCGATAGCCCAAATCCTATATTTTCTTCATTGGAAAGCGTTAACTTAACTTAAGTGCTTAAGAAGTGAAATCCACTTCTTGGAAAGCTAAATCCACGGTTGAGAAGTTAGTCTACGGAAACCGAACGTTGTTTCAAGCCAGGGAGTCAGACTTTAAGACTGTTCGCTCGTCTTAAAACTGTAAGTTGAGTATTTTGTTTTTAGAAAGCTATTTTGTATAATTTTCAGTCATTTTGCTCTAATTATTGTATTCAAGATAAATTCGAAATGTCAAGATTATCTCTTATAAGGTACAGTCCGTTCGTGTGGAAATCCCGTGCATACTGCTTGAATTCATGTTTGTACAACAAGCCCATGCCGCTTGCATTATTCATAGTGACTATTGTGTACACATGCACAGCCCGACCTTTGGAGATTTAACGCGACACGGTGTTGTGTAGAAAACTCATTGATTTTTGGTATTATTTCTGCATATTTTTGGAGCTTCATTGTAAATACAGCAATAGCCTTATTAATTGTAAATAGAAATTTCAAAGGACTCCCTTTAGTGGAGTTTGTCGTAGAATCGTCCTCTTTGAGGGAGAGGCTGCCCCGTTACCCCGACGAGAACCATAGCGTCGCGGGATCAGAGGACCTAGAAAGAGGGACTTGCGACCACACTACCTTATCAAATTGGCGGAGATCCCCAGGGCGTTCAGCCGGTGGAGCGATGACATGCTGGAGGACATGCATGAGTACTCATGTGGGGGATAGTAATATAATGAATTTGTAATGTGATTAATATATTCTTAGTTTGAGGTAAACTCTTGAAAACCAACTCACAAGTTCTAACACGGATTTTGTGAAGATTGGAAATAGTAGTAAATTTCTTTTTTACTTTTTTGTTGTATAGATTACTACCAGTTCCTGAAAGTTTCTTTTTTTGTGACTTTGTTGTCAGTGAGTGGATATAAAAAGTGATCAATCTATATACTTTGGACCCGGTTTGTGACAATCGGTAGTCATAATATTGCTATGCCTCAACCACGACAGCTTCTGGTGTTTTACGTTTCACCGGCATAGACTTTCCAACAGCAAGGAATCAAATTCCCCAAATTGAAGTGCAAAAATTGATACGGTTACGACAGAAAGAAGGGAACATTTCCAATTTTGTATTTGTCTACAAACGTTTTGACCGACAGACACATAGACCAGCTAATATTTGACAATGGGCACATACAACATTATTGCTGGATTAAAAACAAATTGCGACTCATTTTGAGTCTGGTTAGCACCGAAAATGTCAATCTATTTTCACAAAGCCGAAAAATTAGCCAATCACCAAGAAGACTGCCTCGGATTAGACATACCCGTTACTAAAGTAATGCTAACGCCAGCAAAGGACAACATATTAAAATTCCATCTGCGACATTATAAAAATAAACAATTAGCAGCGTTTGTCATCTACACCGATTTTGAATCTATATTGGAACCGACAATATCAACAGATCGTTTCGGGGTATTCCTACTGCATCAAGCGATGCGTCTGCGTTTATACGAAACGGCAAACCTACAGAGGGCACAACGCAGCAAAATCGTTCATTAATTCGCCATTAGCAGAGAAACAGGAAATTAATAAAATGTTTGCAAACCCAAAAAGGATGCAGTGGAACCTAGAATCATCCGAACACCATGAAGCTAATGATACCTGTTGGATCTGCGAGAAACCGATTTGGCCTATCCGGTATAATCAATGTCATCGCTTAAGGCCAAAAGAACCCAAAACAAACAATGATTACAATCAAAGTAAGAACTCGACTTATATAATCAATTTGGACAAGAATAACTTATATGGCTGGACAATGAGTCAGCTGTTACCGGTAGGCAGCTTTAAATGGAAGAAAAATCTTGAAAGATATATTCGCGATGAAATTTTAGAATTAGACCCCCTCGGTGAAAAGGGTTACATATTTGAAGTCACCTCGGATTATCCAAAATGGTTACACGATGAACACAACGATTTCCCGCTGACGCCTGAAAATATTAAAATTCCAAATGAATGGTTGTCGCCTTATCAAAAACAACTTATTGATTTAAACGAAGTAAATAAACTCGTGGCGACTTTAAGCACCAAAGAGAAATATAAATTACATTATCAAAATTTACAATTATATTTAAAACTCGGTCTACAGTTAAAAATGGTTTTTGGGATTACTCAATAAAGACGAGCAAAGCGCAAGCAGCGTTAAACTCCATTCAACTTGAAAACATCGAACTCCCTAGCGCAGCTGACAAAGTAAGTGATATCGTAGAAGAGCTCACAGAAAATCGAGAAGCGCAGACGGAAGGATTAAATTACCGTGAGTTACTCGCTTTAGGCGAATCTTTACAGACGGCAATGCGACGGGCTTCTTCATAAAAATCAATTTTTTCTAGAGTTAAAAGTAATATATAAATTATGACGTCTTCTTTCTCTCTATCTGTTGCTGCGACTAATAGGTCCCCTTAATTTAAACGTAGATTAATTAACGTTCTTTTTTGTTCGCGGAGAGCAGTTATGATTTGGTTAACTCTGCCGCTGAATCCTGGTAAATTTCCTGCTTCGTAAGCTTGAAGATAATCTCTTATTCAGTCATAAAAGAAAACTGTACTGTCTGCTTCTAATTCGGATAACAGTATTACAAGTCGAAGTGATTCTACAACGTCCATGTTGATGGATGTTACATCTATTGAGGCAGGTAGTCCATGATTTGGTCTAACTTCTTCGAGTCTACTTCCCGCAGGCATTCCTTCGACTTGAGTTTGCCATTCGTTTTCGGTGGATTTTGTAATGTTAAAGTGCCCCTGGTAAAAGCTTACTTTTTTACTTTAACAGATTTGTCATCTTTTGAATTATCGATGGCATTTTTCTAATTTAAACATCTGCTCGCTTTTGGTTAAATAAAAAGAACGCGTTTTCATTTTATAATAAACCAGTTTGTAAAATCTAACCGGTTCTAAATTTATTGATGGCATTGGTAAAGTGTTTTTCAGAGACCTGAAACAGGTCTTTTACTTTATCTACAGTTCTTTTGTTACGTCTTGATAACAAACCATTTACAGTTAACCACGCCGCGTGAGTCGTGACTAATTTAGCATATTCAAATTTAGTGGCAAAAGTTAAACCCATTTACTTCTAGAGGAATCTTGGGAATTTTTTTCAGAAGTTTTGGTTGAGGAGGGAAATCGATAATTAATCCATAGTTTTCGTTTTGCAAGAATCACTCCATGGGTGCTGACCAGTCAATATTTTTTACAGCGAAAGTAGTATTAGTAGTAGTAGGGAAGTGCCGATTTCTGGTGAAAATCGAAAAACTGTCGTACTGACGCTTTTTAAAATCTGAAAATCGAGGTTGGCAAAATTGAAGCGTTTTCCTTAAAAATCTGACTGTTTTTGTTGTTTTAAGGAGTAAAATATATCAACTTTTTAAATTTTGAAAAAAAAGGTCAGGTAGGTATAGGAGGGTTTTTCGATTTTGCTAATGTCGAGTTTCGGGAATTTTGAAAAACTGTCGGGTAGGTACATGTATACGACGGTTTTTGTTTTTTGATGGAGTCGGCACTGCCCTACTGCTGCAGACTCCAATTGCCTGAATAAGGTACAGTCACCCCCAGCAGAATCAGTTTATGCCAGAGGTCTTGGAAACTATCACACATTTTCAGTGCCTGTTTGTTTAAAGATAAGTGCCTGATCTGATCAGATAAATTCATAGGGAAAAGTTTAGAGTCAAGCTTGTTTTGTACACAAGCATAAGTTCACAGAGGTGGATCATGTGTTGAACTCGGACTTTAACTTGGCTCCTGTACATGATCTGTTGTAGAAACAGTACTCTGTGGAAAAGCCCAACTGTGTCACAGAGGATGTCATGGTTAGAATTACTATACAAATATTGTATAAATGACTCTCAAAAATCAGTACTTATGGTTTGTGAATTTCTTATGAAATTTGGCAATGGTCTTCTCTTTTCAAAAGAAAATTGTATTGGCCAAAAATAAACTCACGCCTGGGTTTGCTTTGTTGTGGGGAAATCATGGCATCATACAAGTGGTTGAATTCGATGTTATTCAGAGTTGGAAGTGAAAGAGATCCTTAAAAGTCTTGTGAGCTGGGTGAAACTGACATTAAGCAGAGGTAAGTTCACATACCTTGGACTGCAAGTGTTGCATCACCTGCTGTTGTTGCTGCTGTTGCCTCTTCAGCTGCTGCTGATGCTGGTGCACCACGCCTGCCGGTGTCCGCTGCAGGAGGGAGTGCTGGGGCGGGGTGCCCACTGGCATCATTCTGCTGGCAGGTGGCGAGCCCAGGATTGGGGAGACCGTGCGCTGCGGGGGTGCCCGGTCCGTCAGGTCTTTCTCCAGCTCCTCCAGGGTCAGCACTTTCTTGGCCGGCTCTGTGCTCGCAATGGCCTGAATGACAGCTGGATCCTAACAATAACGAATCGCAATCAGACTGGTTACAAAAAGTGCACAAGGCTGGAGCAACCTAAAATGTCTTGAATGGGTTTTGACGCACCATTTTCATAACAATAATGCTTGGTGAAGCATGATTGGAGGATTTCTAACAGCATATTGTTTAGAAGCATTTTGCTCCTAAAATAGCAAACAGTAGTAACGCAGCACACAGCTTGGCCCAATTAACCCTTTATTTCAGGATTCAATTTTTTCCTGAGACACCCAGTAAAGGGTTAATGAACCCTTTTACATGCACAAAACAACCCCTTGTAAGCTAATAGCATCTCGACTCTACTTTTCTAAATCAATAATACAAAGGGACTAAAAAATTATTTTTGTTTAGCAACAAAAGGCTACCAGCCAAATTGCCAGGGTTACATTACTACATGTACTTTGTGGCCGGCTCTCAGCATATGTTCTGCCTAGCAGTGCAATCTGCTCAGCAATTTTTTCTGTTCCATGAGATTGAGCCTTGGGAAGAACCGTTATGTGCCTCTGACAAGATACAGGTAGAACCACACACCTCGAGGGGCAATTCCTCAGGTGGATGGATGTTGAGCATGGCTTTGAGGTGCTGCTCGGTGTTGGTGGTAACCTTCTTGGTGGTAGGCGAGCCCCAGATATTCTTCCGGCTCCCCGGCGAGATAAACTCCTGGGGGTCAAAGAGTGCCGGCGGGGAGGAGGGGCCAAACAACTGGGCCATGTTGGAATTTCCCATGCTGGCTCCGTTCTAGTGTAACAAAGACAGTAAGATCTTAGTGACACAAATTTGCGACCTCAGATTTAATACATGGATTTGCACAGCGAATTCACAAAAGTTGAACACATTTCAACTCGAGTGAATTTTTGCTGCAAATCTTTTGTAACCCAAACGTCAAATTCGTTTCACATTCACATTTGCTTGTGATATGAACAGGCCCTGAATACTTTCTACTGGGATTGCCAAATACATGTGTGAATACCAGTAGGAGTACTTAATGGAATATACTGGTACCTGAGGATAAGACTAAAAGCTGGCTTTGGACAGCAATCAATGAAAATCTTGTTCACAAAAGTGGTTTGCCTTACAAGAACCAGACAAGAATGTACTGTAGCTTTAACTGTGAAAGTGAAACAGAAGGGGGTTGAGTCAGTACCAAACAAATTTTCCTTACTTCCTTTAAATTCTAAGGACAAGTATGGGAGAGCGGACGCCAACTTCACCCAGGATGTGGAATAATACGGGCACAAGCAAATGACAGTATGACCAAGCATGTAATTTAGAACCCCTTTTTGGGGAAAGGTGTCCAAGGGCATGCATCCTGGGCATCAAACTGAAACTCTTCTCCTGAGAACTTCACAATTTTCATGTCTATGTATCTGCTTGTCAGTTCACATTGAAACAGGCAAGCTTTTTGACTCACTCCAATAGTGATGGGCTGAGATTTCTTGGCGGACGACTTGTCTGTGTACATGTCATCTTCGTCGTCTTCGTCATCCAGGACCAGCTTGCTGATGCTCTCCTCAAGATTTTCCTGGAACAGCAAAGGGTAAAAAAATATTCAATTCTGAACTGTGTACATGCACATCCACATTTTATCCAAGCATGTAGTCATCTGTGATTCAAAACTTAATACTGACACATATAAGTACACTATACAATCAATGGTTTGGAAATACATCAGGTAAATGACAAATTATTTCCAATGCAATGATTTACATGTATATTGTGACTAAAGAATAAAGCTTGTTTAAGACAACATTAAGGAATTTCTTTGTAACATTAACCATGTTAACCTACAGTATCATGACTATCATGACCAGGTCTTGGCATTTAGTAACATTTCATTTTTTTCTAATAAAAAGGTCTTTATAATGAACCGGTTTTGCCCTACCTGTACACAGGCAAAATCCAATGAATTGATGAACATGTAATAGTACATGTACCTGGAAAGCGCATGGCCTTCCATAAATTTATGGAATAGCTAAATTGATTGTACAGACCTCGTGCATCCGGGCTCTCTCTCCAGTGTAGCAACCGGAATCGTGTGGTCTCTTTGTGCTGTAGTCATCCTCAAATGAGGTGTTGCCAAACCCTGCACTGAACTTCTCGTGTGTGTCCTGCCAGTCTCCTACAGTAGCAGACAAGAAAGTGTACGATGTACTTTCAACAGGTGCAGGAGAAGACGAGAATGTGAAACAACGCAGTACACTTTGTTTAAGGGCAGATAGAACCTTGCCCTTTGCCAATGCTCCAGTTGGGGGAAAATGGACTACATGTAAACAAAGGACACTGCACATGTACAACTACTCATTGTACAATGCAGCTGAATCTAAGCAAAACTAGCCCAAAGTGTATATGGGTGTTTTGATCAAGTTTTGGGTCAGTTGATCTTTCTCTGTTCAATTACACATGATTAATCAAATTGTCATTTTCTTATTTTAATAATAAAAAGCAAGCAGTCCTACTTGAGATCTTCAAAAGGAAATACATGCACTTGTCTTTACAACACACATCACTCCCTTGTACTGTACATGTGTAAATGTACATGCAGATGTGTACTACATGTACCTTTAATGTCCATGTAAAACAACATCATGAACATGTTGATACTCAAGACCCATCTCTGTGTTTGACATGTGGCAGGGATGTTGGAGATTTTTAGTTGAAGAAATTCATCAATGAAAAACAGCCGTTATCTTGCATGTGCACATTCTAAAAGACGCCTTTAATATTACGAATTGGTTTTCAATTAGTCATGTACCGGTTGGGAAAACATAATCACAGGCTAATTAATCAGTTAATTACCAGTTACTTCACTACACTTGTTGGCCTACTGTTAGCTGTTTGATGTACATGTACAAGCTGTGTATTTCTTGTTTGAAAATATACATGTACGTGTAGGTGACCTCTTGATATACAGAGCATGGTTTTCATTGCTACGAGGAGCAAGTTCTCTTGAGATGTATTGTCGTGCTGTTTTTCAAGTCTTTTTCTAATACGGCTCTGGCAATTTTATTATAAAATCCAAGCAACTTTGTTACATTAAGAGTTGATTGTACATGTACATACAGGTACAAAATGTATGCACCTTCAACCGTAAACTATTCTGCTTTCTTCGGTCTTTGAACATGTACATGTATTTCTTAACCCTAACCCCCTAGGTTGTATGTAAAATCGTATTGAAATTGGAGGATTTGGGACTGTTAGGGTGCCCACTCCAACCAGACAGATTCAACCTACATGTACATGTACTTACCCTCAAAATCACCTCCAAATGTTTCATCATTGAGCTCGTCATATTCATCATCCGGGCCCTCCTCCAAGGGCTGATAAACATTGTGGGAAAGACAACAGGAGACAACAGTCAACCAAACAATGATAGGAAATATGTCTACAAACCGACAAAATACCGGTACATTTCACTTGGGAAAAGTGCACTTTCAAAAGGAAAGAACAAAAATCAAACGTGAAATAATTGCAACAAATATACAGTGTATGCATGTCAATGTTCAACTCAAATGTAAAACAACAGACATTTCATGTCATTTCAAGAATCTATGTTAGACATGTGTAAATTGTGTAATGCAGACATACATGTACATGTACTATACAGTACATGTACATACATTCAGAATGATACATGTACATGTAGGCCCTTACTGTTCCTGTACATGTTAATTACAGGTTTTTTGCCTTTACCCGATATACATGTATTATATGCCGTATATATATAGGTCGCGTAAGGGCAAAAAATTTGTTATTAAAATTAACATCTCTCCAACGCAAAGTACATCTTGAAACATTCTCATGTACATACATGTACATGTACCGGTATGTGCGTGTTCAGCTGTGGGGAACTTAAAAATGCGTACTTGCGTACTTAAAAATTCATTGAAAATGGGCCTCTTTAAGGCTTTTCAGCCTACAGAAGTCCAGTAGACTGGCCCTAGTCTGACACTAGCATACCATGGAACCAGATGAACAATTGGTACTGTATGAAATCCTCCAAAAATGTCCAATTAAATACACTCTGCATTTTAGTGCAACCGCGATAAAAAAACTTTACATTTGGGGCATATTCATGGTTCGCTATCCACTGCTTTTTACATGTAAAAGGCTGGTACTAGACATCCTGGGGAATTTAACCAAAAAATAAAATGAAAGGGAGTTTTTCATCTGCATGTACATGTATGTAAATTTGTACATGAAGATACACATGTAAATGTAAATGTACATTGTATATTTTGAACCCAATCCTGCAAAAACTTGCCATCAAAGAAAACTCCGCAAAATGCAGCACGGTGTACACGTAGCTGTGAATATGTGGAAAGCTGCAGCATCGAATGTACTGTACATGTACACATGTATATACATGTATTCACCTTTTACAGCGGCTAACTCCACCGATATCCCCATATTGCTAACAATGATGAAACTAGACCTAACCTGCCCCCCCCATGGTCAAGCTTGGCACAGAGATCTACCACTGACCTCACGAATGCAGAGTACAAGTACATACATGTACATTGTACATGTACATGTACCGGCATTACACACATGAATACGCAGGCCTGCATGTACGGTGTGATTTATCAGTGCATCAAAAATGCTACATGTAGGTTGGATGATTAAAAGCTCTGATTTTTCAGAGATTGTGGGTCTGATAGTCCAAAAAGTAGTATTCCCACAGGTACATGTAGACATACTGATTGGCCATGATTGCTTTTTTGCAAAGATTTGAGAAAGTAGAATTAAAGATGTGGGTCATTCCATGAGGTTGGGGCACAATTTATGACTGTGTCCTTGTTACACGGGTAATTTTTGCAACCTGTCATGACCTGTGGAATAGGTCATTTACTCTGTAAAAATAACACACACCTCCATGTTCAGCCTTGCGAGATGTTTAATTTGGAATCCTCATGCAGGGAAATACAAAATGTACATGTGTAGCTGTTCATTTTTACGGAACCCACTTACGTGTAACAATGGACACCGTCACAAACTGTGCCCCAACCTCACGGAATGACCCATGTACATGTATCGGTTGACATGGTAGATACAATATACGTGTACACCTACATGATCATGTAGTATTCTTATACACATGTACATGTACAGTGTAGGTACATTTGTACTGTACAGTGTACATGTACATGTCAATCAAAACTGGATTGAATATTTCCATAGCATTAGCATCTCCCGAAAGGTGAACAAGCTGAAAGCCACGCCTGGTACATTCAACAGGTACATGTACATGTACATGTATGAAACATGTACAGGGTAATCTGGTTTCTAGAAATTACATGTACCTGGTAGTTACAAGTGACATGTACATGTACATGGGCAAACACAACTGTTGCTTCATATACATGTATGGGTCAATGGAAATGTTCCACACAGACATCACTCGACCACCCTGTGCACAAGCCCTATGAGACTGGTATTTTCTAAATAAATGCTTCACTATTTTTCCCAGCTACATGTACATGTACCAGTAATTGGACTCTTTAGGAAATCGCTTTTTTTAATGGCTGATATACATGTACATGTACAACTCTAGGCATGGTAGGTGAAAGGTGGTGATCATGTGGAACCCTTCCATGGGTAAAGTCCTATCCAAGTTAACTTGCACCTTGGTCAACTCATATTTTGTCAGCTCAGAATCACCCTTGTACATACATGTACACTGTGATTGTGAACCCACAAGTATTACACTGTATGTACATGTACATGTAATATAGGGGTACAATTTTCTTCTCCACTACCTGAATACACATGCTGGAGGCAATTGCAGACCTACATAGTAAATAATAAATAATAATCATACATACTGTACCTAGTGCCAATCCATTACAAATATTATGCTTTTGGTGCTTTACAATATGCTATAAAATAAAAAAAATACACAAAATTATATTAAAAGAAAAATTCACAAAAGATGACAATCATGACAGAAATCATACAGACATGATATGTACATGTACGTACAGAGTAGGAGTTTGTATTCAAGGTTTCATGTTTTCTTTTCTGCGGTGAAAAATTATTCTAAATGTACATCAAGTTAGGTTTTGCAGATTTAGTTTTTCAGGTTTGCAAAATGTTTACCGGGCGATTAGCACAAATGAGTATGATGAAGCCAGGCATGAAAACTTGCCATCATGCCCCTCGGCATGAAAAAAATGTCTTCCATCAGCTAAAGTAACGTTAATGATCACGGATGAACCACATCGCACCACACTGTGTAATGTTGGAATATCAGCAGTGTACGGTATGTCCCCCCCTCCGGAGGCTAGTTAAACTTTGAAACAGAACTGCATGTCCCTGTGTCTATAGAAAATAAAGACAAGGCGTAAGTTGACTCAGGTGCGAATTGCTGTCTGGTCCCAATCCAAACAGATTGTGACTGTGTTAATCATCTATTACATGATCAGGAATAAAATCGGTGTACATACTAAACGAATGTTGAAACGACACAAAAGACCAACATTTTACAGACAGAAAAATCTGAATACAACACAAAATGAGGAGTTAAAGACCAGATCGTGTGAGTGAAGCTGTGTTAAAAAAACATGGGGCTTAATTAGTCATAGGAAGTTTGGGGTTGGTCATACTCACAGGGCCAAGGATACAGAGGTAGGCTAGTCCAGTCGTAGCTGGCCCTAGTCAGGTAGTGCAGGGCTACATGTACATGTAGGTGTTGATGTGTTGGTCAATTGGTCAAATACATGTACATGTACATGTAGGGCCTACACGTAACGTATAGTTTTCACAGCATACCGGTACATGTACAAGCTTTACAGTCACTTCGCCCCATTTCAACTTCACCCCTAATCACTTCGCCCCGTCAACACTTTGCCCCATCTCCACTTCGCCCCATCTCCACTTCACCCCATCCCGTCTTTGCCATTTCCCGTCCGTGCTTGAGTGTAGCAAGAACAAGCCTCTTCAAAATATGGTTGAGAGAGGAGTTCCACATATGGCATGGAGTAATACACGTACAGTATATAGAAAACTCTACAGCATTCAATAAATTAATGTCGAGTGCGTTGTCCATGGTGAATTAATACATGTTTGGACTAGCACTGGGTTTATTTCTCATCCTCTTCAAGTTTATTCCAAAGGAATACACAAGTCTGTACACATCACCTCGTTCTGGTACAGGTAACTGTCGATGTATCCAGACAGGTGCCAGGGCGCGGATAAACCTCGGCATGCCATGGCAGGAAATTTTATAGAAACATGCTCGCTTCAAGTACATACGAGCAAAACAACCTACATTGTAAATTGAATTCATGAACACAGAAACAACACACACAGACAGGATACTAAGTTATGGAAGTTAACTTGAATCTTGCAACATTGATGTTTTTGTTCGATGCAAGGGGTCGTGTACATGTACAATGTACATGCGATCCCCACGGGATAAATACATGTAGGCTGGTTGCCATATTCCATCACACATGGTTTTGCATGGGTGTGGCAAGGCGGGAGCCAGCGCTTTGCGCACGCGTTTTTACCACAACGAAACATGAAGAGAACTCATGAAATTAACAGAAGCTGCTTTTCACATGTTGCAAAAAACCGGAAAACGATGTAAACACCAGCGTCATAATGCAAAAAATGTTGTTCTGAGCTGTTTTGAAGACAGAAATGAAACAGGATTTATTTATTTGTCGTTCTTATATGTATTAAATTCGTTTTCTCCAAGTTGGCAATAAAAAATTTAGGGTCTTGCTGAAAATTTTGGGTCGGTCTGGAAATCAGAAGCATTGTTTTAGCGTTTGCAAGTTGGATTCTCCAACCGTTATTTGGGTACTCACATGTCAATAATTTTGTTTGTGACATCTAGGCCTATGCTTCTGTTAGGCCTACTAACTAGACAGAATGAATGATAATCGGTGGGGTGAAGTGGGTATGGGCCCAAGTACATGTACTAGGAATGAGTTAAAGACTAAAGTGGCGATGGGGCGAAGTAGTTAGGGGTGAAGTGGCGATGGGGCGAAGTGACCAACCCGCCATGTACAGCTACAACTGTGTAAAATTCACACTTACATGTATAGGGGCCCTAATTATTTTGTTAAGGGTAGCACTACAAAAAACACAATTTAGAGCGCCCTCTGCTGCGCAGTGTTTGTGAACAACTTCAACTTACAAAATACCGGTAACATGTGGGCCCCTAGCCCCACTAGTGTGGCACAGACTCTCACTCCCGCTCCATCCTTAGCCACACATTTGTATACGATTGCCCTAATACTAAGCCCCTACCACTACGGCCTATGGATGTTGATTTCGCAAAGGGTAACGTTACAGAAAACTTACAGGCATTTCCGGGTCGTCGCCAAACATAAACTCTGTCATTTTAATAGCTAGCACTTCTTAGTAAAGTCATGATGAAATAAAAGCAATGACATCACACGGTAGAAGGGACATTCAGCTATAACAGGACAGATTTTCATGGCATGAAGTGTCCGTCATGTCCGTCGTGTGCCAACTAAAATGTATTGAAATCCAGCAATATAATGACGCCCTCTATCGGCCAATTCGTAATTTCGACATGTATATGTACACACGCTGTGAACCAGCCATGGCCCAATCGTGGAAAGGTTGTACACAAAATGCCACTGGGAAAAGTGTATATTTTAAAAAGTGATATATATTTCTTCAAGGTCGTTGAGATCTACATATCCATTTTCCCCCATTTTTGAGGAGAATTTTTCCCCCCGACGCAGATGTTCTTTGGGCGCTTTTTTATTTTTTTTCACGTCTAGTACCACGATTGAGTTGTTGAGCGACCTCACATTTTTCACAATAAGAATGGTCTCGTCAATAAATCTCGAGTTTAGTGCCTTCATCTCATTCTCTTAATTGTTTGATTTCATTATAATAAAATGAAAATGAGCAGTAAACATCCTTTAGTAGAAGTTTTTTTTTAAATGTCAAAAGATATTATATCTGTGAGAAATACACGGCGCTAAAAATAGACAAACTATCTTACACGTCGTAATGAATTATTCTTTTATGAGTACTTTTAAGTTACAATAACTTTGTCAATATTGCGATTATTGATTGTTAACTGATTAATTAAAGAGCAATAAATTGATATCTAGAGTTTATAAGTTCTGCTGAAAGGTTCCAATGAAATTTTATTTGGCATGGTTTTTCGTTTTTATTTAGTTTTTTTCCGAAGTGCAAGAGTGAACTCTAACACGGGTCATACGCATAGAGTTGGATATTAAATGGATTATAATATTATATCCAATGGCCATACGTCACCACGTGCACATGACACGAGCTCACCACTGAATGTACATGCGCAGATTATAAGTTAGTGACCAGTGACAGTTGGTATTGGTTTTTGTACGACCCGGGATTTTTTTTCAGTGCTATGGCACTCCGAGTGGAGTGGCCCCCCGAAAGCACTGTGCACTATGCATTAATAACTTTCTACGTTTTGTCAGAGTAGGTTCTACTTTAGGACACAAAAAAGTCTCTAGTTTCTGGTCAGGAGCAGGTTCCAAAAGTGGTGCGGCGACACAGCTTTTTTACCCTTACTTTTTTCTGGAAGTGATGTAATGTACGTGTAACGCGCGATGTCCATTGCGACTGAATGCGTGCGTACTGGCCCTCGCACTTTTTACGATCTTTGCTTTTTACTGTCTAAAAGCATTTTCAGCTTGTATGTGATGACTTGTACGCGGGACGTCATGAGACCACCTCAATTGTCTGGTTCCCAGATGTAAATCTTTACAGAAATAATAAAGTCGTCTGAAAAAGGGTGCCCGACTAAAATGTATGGGAACTAGATGGACTCCTTCACCGTACATATTACACAACTGTACCCCATCAAAACACGTAATAGCAGGATTCCAGTGGATTAAGCAAGTTTTAAGCAGGCTTGACAGCCTTTGGAAATAATTTTATACCAAATAAAAAGCTGTTTTTATTTTGCTGACGCACAGGTCTACGGCGACGCGCACACTGATCATAAACCAGAGACTTTTTTAAAGGCCTTATAGTGTAATTCGACAACCAGAATTAGAAGATATTATTACAGCGCTAACACAACGCTCTTATCTTGGGCAGGTGGTACTTGCGCGTAACACACCTCTTCGGCCAATAGGGTGTCGTGATTTGCCAAATGCACGCGCGCGTCGAGCTAGCTGAAGAATGTGCGTGGGAGTGTGAGTGCCACAACAATTATGGCGTCTGGTCAGATTAGTATTCCATACTTGGTTTTCATGTTACACAGCTTGTTCAGATACTATGGTAGTGGCTAATATTTCTTCCAAACAATGTCGGCACGTGAATTTGTATGATTGATTTCTGTACTGTTCGTATGCTCTTTTGACAAAAAATGCCCTGTACGTTATTCACTCGTCGCCCAGCGCCCGAATAGGACGCTGGGAAGCTTAGGGCCGATGGCCTTGAACAGATTTGAGAGAGGGAGAGAAAAAACTTCTCACGGGGTCCCAGCTAACGAAGCGCAGAGCATTGTTGATAAGTTTCTGGCAGGCGCGCGAGTTCGCTCAATGCATTACAAAAGCGAGAATTATCGGTATTCTTCTTTTTCTTCTTTACTGCTGGAAATATTCTTACTACACTTTATCTGTCCATCCAAAATTGATCAAGATGACCAATGACTGTAATATATCGCAAAAAAGACAAGTGATCGTGATATCTAGTGAGAAGATATATTACAACACTGTGATTGTACTAAGGTCATGTTTTTCGGACACTTTGCCCGTACCAAAGCATTGTCATTGGCGAACCAAAAACGTTATGTAATGCTTTGCTAAGTAACAGGAAGTGATAACCTCGCGGTCGCAAGTCGTGCAGCAGCGAAACGTATAGCCAATGGGTTTTTTTTCTAGGAATTGAAAAAAAACACCTTCTTTTCACTACCAATGAAAACAAATTCAAAATTAATATTTTTTTTAACGATGACGCGCTGCCAGCGCTCATCGTGACGCTTGCGATGTCGTACCGACGGGGGCTTTTAGAACTATAGCTACGTCTATTGTCAGCACGTCCGCGTATTTCCAATGAGAAAAATTGCCCATCAAAAGCTAGGCCTATCTAGCGCCAGACAGCTTACATACTCGGATACGGCAGGGAACCAGCTTAATTGATACGGTTTTTTGTACGTCTCTAGTCTGGTAACCGATGTTTGCAGATTGCATTTGTTTATGTCCGGTACGTACATGAACGTACTTGCTTCGGCCATTTTTGACGAAGTGGAGTCGAAATTCACCGATCCTAAAAAGTGCAATTTAATACTTTATTTTCGCTTCCGATGAACGCTGTTCCACCTTCAGTCTTTCTATGAATGTTAATAATATACTTTTGCCCTGTTAAGAGATCATATTCGGTCGAGTTCTTTCCAAACGATGGAAAACACGGAAGCATGCGAAGTGACTGAAGTGCCCGTCGGCATTGCCGAAGCGGGCAACATCGATATCCACAACGTTGCCGAGGAGTTACCGAACGCTGCCGATGACTCCGCATTTAACGCTGGTGCAACTGATCACTCAAATGAGAACAGTGGTGACGGGCACGACGAAGGAATTACAACTTCTTCGGTCACAGATGAGGTTTTCCATCCACATCCAGTGCACCCTGTGGGAATTCTGACCGCTGTGCCTGGGGCTGGTGGTCGAACCACACGGCTTGTCGCGATCGTCCAAGACTCCCAGCACCACGCTCACCTTGTTGACGGCTTGAAGACTCCGGCTACGCCGTGTACACCTGGGACCCCTTCAGGGGACAAGCGGCAGCACTACGCCTGGGATGAGGTGGTACATTCCCCAAACGGCATTCTCCCTGTGCGATGTAGAAATGTCAGCGCTGAGTTGCACAAGAACAAACTTGGATCAGGTGATATCTTGGTCATGTGTTGAATAAACTTTAAAAAGGCAGTGGACGCTTGACTGTGGTCATGTGGTAGGCTAATTCAGGCATGCCAGGATTTAGGAGTTGATTACTTCGTGTACTTTGTGGGCCTAGTAGCTAGTACTACTGCTCTCAGTCACCCATCATGCTCATACAAGTACTCAAAGTCATTGTCATTTTCAGTGGGGGAATAGTCTACACTTATGGACGCAGCATTTTGTACTCCCGATGATGTTGATAGCACTGCTTCAGGTCTCAGTTACTTCACTTTTTTCTACATAAGGATGGAGGGGAGTCCCCCAAAAGCAGTGCTTGTCGAGTAGGGACCCCCACTTACATAACAACACATACAGAGAGACATCACATTGGCATACATATACATACTGATAATAATTAGAAATCAACAAGAGATACTTGTAAGTACATGTACATGTATGGCCTGTAACTTGTAACCCTGTGAGAACTACATGTACTCAGTTTCCATGTAACTATTAAGTAAGCGCATCAAATATACATATACATGTTTAAACAATGATGGATTGGTCATATGTTTTAATGATGGATCTAGCGAGTTCCACAACTTGGGACCCTCGTGCCTTACTGTTTTAATTGCAAGTTTGGTGCGTACAGAGTTTTCATATTATTCCTACAGTCCTGGATATTATTGAACAAATGTAATTAACATGCATTTTCCATGATAGATATTTATTAACATACACTCCCAGAAATTTGATAGTGAAGCCATTCAAAGCCTTTCAAATTGCTCAAGTCCTAAACATGTCAAAGAGATGTTCCAGTCACTTGACTTGGAATATTCCCACTATTCTACAATATTGATTAGTCCAAGAGATGATAATCTAGACCCAAATTTGTAAATTTGGCGTCACCAACATGTGTCACCAGGTTTGCCTTTGTGAGCATTCCCCCAGCCTTCAATTGTCATAATACATGTATACATATAGGCCTATCCGTTTTGTAAGTGACTTCATCATTCATACAGACACGCCACAATTTGGAGGCTCCAATTGGACGATTGGTGAAGTTGCGCAATAACTTCTGGTTCAGTGGTTCCAAGAACATAATGGTGATCAGTGCATTTAACTCTGTGTGCAGTGCATGTGCAGTGGGCGTGGTTTAAACTGAAGTGATGTCACACTTACGAATCAGATAGGCCTGTCCATGTTGTAAAATCCAACAGGTAATCATGGTAATTGTACATGTATGTTTATGGTCAACCAGATCTCCAGTACAGAGGCGAAACCACCTGTACCCATACTTGCAACACTAAACGAAAGTGGTGTGATTATTTGTGGTGTACATGTACACAGGACACTTATACATGTATGTACATGCACATATACATGTATTTGCAGGAGGTAAGGGGCGTTGCATCAAATACCAAGACACTTGGTACACCCCTTCAGAATTTGAGAACTTCTGTGGGCGAGGCAACAGCAAAGACTGGAAGAGGAGCATCCGCTATGGGGGGCGGACCTTGAACTGTCTGATAGAGGAAGGAATACTCACACCTCATGCTGCCTCCTGTACGTGTGGTGCCTGCTGTGATGATGAATCTGTGGTAAGCTTGACCTGATCTTGGCCTGGTTCATTGGATTCTTTGCATGAGGTATGCCCTCAGCAGTAAACAGGCAGTCAATAACTATTAATTATGCTAAGCCCCCCCCAAAGTCTCATTCATTTTTTTAAGGGAAGGAGCGCCCTCCTCCATTATTTTTTATAGCCGACACATTTTTCCAAGATGGTGGGTAGATCTATTTTCTTGACTCTGTCACTGATGTTTTTATGTCTAAAGGAGCTTTCACCATTACCAGGCTTTAAACTTGCATTCATGTATGTTAAGGTATCTGTATACACTGTGCATGTACATGCAACAATATAAATAGGTTGCAAGTTTAACAATAAAATGAAAAACTAAAGAAATGAAAAAGAGGAGACAGGGGACTGTAAATTTGAAAAAAATTCTTATTCTACCTTATAGAGGGCCAGGTGTGCATCCATGTTGATGTTATTATTTTTTTTTTGTACAGGAATCCTCTCAGTCTGGTCCAGTCCGGCTCTTTGTACCGTACAAACGACGCAAACGAAACGAGAGTGAAAGTCTCCCACCGACCCCAACCATGAAGAAGAAAATGAAACTTAAGGATGGTAAAAATCCAGCGTTTAATCCCAAATTACTCCAGAGCAGTGGAGCCCTCTGCTTGAGTCTGCTGGGCTTACTGAAGTGAAAGATTGTGTTATAGCAGGGGTCGACATTAAGCGGGCCTACCTGCGCTTTTGCATCCGACAAACCATGATTAGTGCCTGGTAACCCGTAATAAAGCGAGAGGTCGGGCACTGAAATTAGCGCCAGGCCATTACTGATCCTCTTTGAGGTGATGACACACTTAATTCCGAAAAAAATCGTAAAAAAAAAAAGTACTGTGGTGAGGGTAGGTTCAACAACCCTCCTTGTGTTAAAATGCCTGTTTTATACGTTTTCCAACTTACATTTGCAATTATTGAAAAGAATCTTCTGTTATTTTCACAGTAGTGAAAACGTGCTCAAAGCAAGACTGCGCTGGTTCCTGCCGCGCAGCGCTGCACACATGCCAAAGAATGCGCGATGGAATTGTGCCAGTCTATATGTCCGGGTCGAATACACTACATCGGCTGTAGCACAGAAAAATTGACCCCCCAAAATTTCTGACCTGCTAACCCTATTTTTGAGAGGCATATAATCGAAAGCAAAACTATTATTTTTTGGCCTTAATATTACTTTACCTAAAATAGCTCCCGGGTTCAGTGAAACAGCTCCCAAAAAACCCTGAAATTTGAAAGGCCAGGAGCTATTTTTGGCTTCTGGGTATAAAAGCTTAATGTCAACCCCTGTAATAGGATATAGATGTAAGCTCAAAAATCCAAATTTGTTGTCAGGTTGGGCAAACCTGATATGAAGCTTTGTTGTTATCGGCAAAGGCTTGATGGGAAGTTGCAGTAATTGGAAATTCATGCAGAACTCGAGTCTGAGTTCTTCGTCTGAGCCTCGTACCACCTGAACATGTACCCGTATATGGTGCTGCTTGTCTAAATATACATGTATACTTTTTATACATGAATTCAAAGTACAGTACTCAGTCTTACAGGTAACTCTGTAATGTACACGTACATGTAGCTTGCTTGATTCCCACTGTATCACCTTTCAACAAATTTAATTACAAACTAATGGAAATAATTAAAGATTCTTTTTATTAGTCAGGCTTGTAAATTTTTTGGCACTTGTGAAATAATACACTGCAGAATGTACCTTGCCGTGCTTGTCGGCCTTTTCTAAATGACCAAAAACATAACTGCAGTCAGCTGGCACTTCCCAACTTCTGCCATGCGTACATGTATATACATGTATACGTACATGTAGAAGGGTTTTACAACTGAAATATCAAATTACCAGTGTCCTAACTTATAGTTCCTGTAAAGTGGCCATTCATATTATGGTTAAAAGAAAGTTTCTTTAAACTTAGGGTATAAAACTGTGCATAATGTACATGTAGGTCTGTTATTATCATTGGGTTATGTGGTGTGAACGTGTTTGGTTTAATGTCACAAATCCTGAGATACCAAGCAAGCACTTGCATTTATTAAAGTGTGAAATCAAAGAGTCACTTAGGGTTGGTCCAACATATGAACTTCTCCATTCTAATTTTGGACTGTTTTCTTTCTACCGTCAGCCCCTGAGGAAACCCGGTCCATAAGCCTGGACAGCACTGCCAGCCAGTTGGACGTGACCGGTGCCAACCTGGTACTCAGTCCCATGCCGCCAGGCACACCCAAGGCTGCGGGCACCTCAGACCTGGAGCATGAGCACTGGTGGCAACTGGAGGAGGTATGTACATACGTGTATGTGGGGCATCCCAGGGTCAGAGCTCATGTTTTGCTGGTGGTAGCTGCTTCTGTTGACCTTCATACAATTTCTGGCTGTCAGTACCTGAAGAATATGTTCAAGTGTGAGACTAAACACTATTTTAGGGCCAGTTATTGCCGAACTGTGGAATGGTGTTTTTGGAAGTACAAGTGCATTTAGATTGGTAAACAAAGCAGGTGATCAAGGTGCTACAATGTTGAGTGACTCCAGTTTTTTTCCTGTCAAACCATGGATTTTAGGACCTGTTTGTTTCACGCAGATCTGGATCGTGGTCAGTAATCCGTTCTTGGTTCACTGACACCAGAGCCCACCTTAACCGCTCCGAGCGGAACAAAAAAATAGTGTGATTTTGGTACTCACCGCATAGGCTTGCCATGGGGCGCGCGAGTATATGCTTGTTTCATGTGGAGCACGCCGAGTATGCGTAAATAATTTATTGGGGCATGTATGGTCTTTGTGTACACACAGAAGTGTGCAAGAACCCGCTTGTAACCACCTGTCTTTCTTTTGCCGATTGGGGGGTGCACTTCAGCTTGGGGCGGATAGATGAAGTGAACCAACGTTGGGGTGAGTGATCAAAACCCAGATCTGCGTGAAACAAAACAGGCCTGTTTATGTAGTACCTGTCTGATCATGCAAGTTTTATTTTCTTGCTTCTACTAGACATTACAACCATTTCTGTCCTATTCAGCTTTGACTTCTGGCTGTCCTCATGAAATAAGAAATGAGATGCGTATTCTGCTCATACAGACTGAACCTACACTGAAAAAGGAAACTGAATGATCACAGAGTGTCCCAAACAGCAAGTTTTATGGTCCTAATCCTCTGGGTGTAATGTATTGCACATGCAGATAAAATTTTACTGGGTTTGGCATGGTGAGGGCCAGGGTACAGACATGGCAAACATTCATGTATCTGATACACAAAATGCACACGTTGAGACCACTCCGTCATTTGGCTTAAAAGAGGGAATAAAGTGCAATATTCCACTTTGTGTCAATACGTGTAAATGCCACAGATGGCCAACCAGCTTGCCCAGAATGTCCAGCAGCTGAAGACCTTGATAGAGCAGGCAAAGGCCCACTCTCAAGCCAGCAAGGAAACTGCTGTCCTGCACACCAAAATCATGCTTGATGCTGAGAAAAAGGAGGTAAGGCTTCGTGTGCCATTTGCATGTAGAAGGTGGGGATAGTTTGGCTTTTTTTTGGGGGGGGGGATTTATGCCTTTTTTTCTTCTGTTGTCTTTATGAGCATATGGGGAGTTCTGTGTAAAAAATAGTAAACTGATAATTTTGGAGAAAACTATGAAAATCTGCGTCTTGATTTACTCACCAGGCATTATCCAAAGCTCGTCTGGAGGCCCAGATGCAGTTCTCCCGAGCCATGATGGAGGCCAAAGCTGAGAAGGACAGTGCAGTGGCTCAGGCTCTGGCTCAGGCTAGGGCTGAGAAGATGGAAGCGGTCGCCAACGCCAAGACAACGCATCTGATCAAGGTGCACTTGAAATTGTCAAGAAAAACTCTGATTGCAAAGCTGTTTTGATTAGAGCCTTTTTTTATGCCCCACTAGCGGAACCGAACGGGCATACTGTTTCCACCTTTCGTCCATGCATGGGTGTCTTTAGCCCTGTCCGCACTGGACTTTATTTTCCGAAGATTTTACTGAGCCGATGGGAAAATGAAAAATGGGCAAATTTTACCACAGTCCGCACATGGACTGTCAATGCGAGATGTGTGGGAAAAGTAACCGAGCTATCACTATAATGGCACACGAGGGCGCTTTGCGTGACCTTTCGTGTTCACCCTTTGACCCAAGCACATGCGCACCTTTTACAAACTTCTGGTTGTGACAGTTCTTCCAATGATACATCGGTGGCCCCAATTAAACTTCCGGTTGTTTCAGTAATAATTCCTCACTTTTATTCGAGAGACTAGAGAACATGAAATCACTGCACAGCAACTAGAATTAAGCTTCGCGGTGTGTACGTGTATATACATCACATGGACGCTTGCAACGCACATGTGCAGGGTTCGTGTGAGCCTGACCTTGCCAGTAAACCGGATGTACGCTTCCCTGAGCCGCTTTTACCGACTTGCAATGTCCGCACTGGACTTTCTGTCTTGGGAAAAGTGTCTCGGGAATTCTTCCTGGCCAGAAGTTGGCCGCTAAAAATTCCCGTGCGGCTTGGGAAAAGTAACTGAGAGGAAGTCTTCAGGGGACGTCCGCACTGGACTTAAAATGGGCAAAGTACTCATCGTCTCAGTAAGTTTGCCCCAAAAAAGTCCAGTGCGAACAGGGCTTTTGTGCAGTGTGGCTGTGCAAGTGTTGCATACACGTACATGCACACAGTGTTGACCTCCATACAGAAGTCCACACAATTGAAGGATAAGAAAATCTAAAATCTGAAACATGTCTTGCACACTGCAACCCTTTCATGAAGTTTGCTTATCCCCTATAAACATCTTGGAAAACATTGAAAAAGAGTGAGCTGCAGTACATGAACTCCTTGGTATCAAGTGAGGAATCATTGCCACGCTGGCATACAGCAATGCTTGACTCAGTACAAACACCCAATGGATGTTCCATTCAAATACATTCACTGCATATATGCACACTGCTTCATCATGCTTGCCCAGTTGCTTGTCCAGAGGCTGCAAAAACAGACATTGGAATCTATGGGTTTTTGCTTTCGTGTTCCCAGAATAAAGATTTTTTTCTGTTTTTATCATGCATTTGAGGATCGAGAATGAATCGGTTTGTTAAACGAATAGCAGCAATGATTGAGACAAGGCGCCCACATTGCATGCGCACACTTTGTGTTCCATTTTCTGAGTCTGCAGTGGTGGCAGGTATGCCATGACAACAGCATGGCTAGGGACAGAAAACCTCATTCCCCACTGTCCGTTCTCTCTTCCCACCCCCCTTCCCAGGCCTGCGTGAACTGTGGCAGGGAGGCACTCAGCGAATGCATGGGCTGCCACCAGGTATCTTACTGCAGCAGCTTCTGTCAACGCAAGGACTGGGTCAGCCACCAGCACAACTGTGGGCAGCAAGGGGTGCTGGCTTCGTGCCCCGTGGAGCAGCAGGAGGGTCAGGAAGATGAGAACACATCCATTGAGAACAAGGACCCTGATGAATAATGATTAGCTGTAAAATAGGTCAAGGTCTTGTTTTGGGGTTTTTCTACAAGCCAGGGGAAAGCCATTGTTTTTGTAAAATTATAGAGGTTCTGCATGGCAGCCATCTTTCCGGTAACTGCTTTTGTCGTGGAGGGATAGTACAAAAGGTCTGCTGATGTGTATCCCTGTGGAATAAAAGCTCTGACCGGAAAAATGGCTGCCATGCAGAACGTCTATATTTTTGCTTTTTTTTTTTATCTCCCCAAATCCTACAGACTGTGTACGTGATTTCTGTTGGCAGCACTTAGGCCAGTTCTTAATCTTCAGTCATAGATACCTCAGACAGTCTCCCTATTCACCTTGTACTAACATTCAATAATGCCTGCTATATAAATCATGCACTGGCATCTGGTGTGTGCATGCGGCTCGCCACGCACACACCAAATCCATATACGGAGATTCTTTCAGACAACTATTGAATAAAATGGACAGGGGTGTCTGTTCAGGAAAATTTAAAAAAAAGTCTAGAACAAATTCATTCTATATCTGTCATATATTGACTTTTTTTGACTCCCTGACTAAAAATGGTATTTATGAATGGGAAGAAATACGTGCTGGGCATGTGCTCAGGAGACTGAATGCTGATTATGCCCTTGCCAACAGCTCGGACACTAGTCGCGTCCACTCTCCTTAGCTGGTCTTAAACGCACGTTTAAGACCGGCCAAGCACATAATTATTTATTCTCTAATAGTCAAACTTAAACAAGTGAAGACCGTAGGCTGAAGATGTGCACTGAACATTGACGTCATGTAAACGTCATCATCAAGTCATGTGGCAATCAATTAGTCTAGACATTTATGACAAAATGTTAGTGTGCACCCTTGGCGCAGATTTTTGTTACATGATCATGATGACATCAAACTAAAAATATTTTGTTTTCCATATAGAAAAACATTTGATAGTCATCTTTAAAATTACATGTAGTTGAAAGATGTGTGTGTGTTCTGCTCTGCAAATGCAAAATGACTGGAGGACATCAGTTGATTTTTTCATCTTTTTTCATGTTCGCTTGTATTAGTAATTTGTGGCACTATTACGAGACAGACAATTTGAAACTTCAAGATATAAATTCCTTTGAGATCACAAGTACTCATAACAATGATGTCTCAATGACACCATCAAATGAGTTTGTACAATTTTTTATTTATTTTTTATTAATTGCAGGTTTTGTGTTGCATTGACCCGTTTTAATAGAAAAAGTCTTATGTTATTGAGTTTTAGCTGTCGTTAATTGAACATATCAAGTGGCATTGCAATAGAATCATTAAGAAGCATTTGTCGATGTTCAAAGTTTGTTTGATTTCTCATAGACTCTGTACATGCTTCTTAAGCTCCACACACCTACTGGTACTGAAGAGGCCTACATGTACATGGGAACCATGTACATGTACATGGGGACCATGTACATGTACATGGGGACCATGTAATACAATTATTTTATTACAGTTCTTGAAAGTGTACTACTGTGTTTCAATTTAACCTTATTTTAAATTTTCATTCAGTTTTAACCTGCATTTTGGGCCCTTTGAGGCTTTTATAGTAATGCAAATTTGCGTATTCAGGAGCAAAACTGTGATGTCATTCTAGGCACTGAACCGGAAAGCTGCAATGATTTGTGCACATAAAATTGCTGGAATCTTACTATATTTTGCTGTTTGGTATGGCATTAAGTTAGAGAGCAACCTTTTTGCAGAGATATTTTCAAAGAGCAAATTTGGGGCTCAAAATCTGAACATGAAAATATGTATTTAAACAGTGTGTTCCATGATTTAAGTCACAGCAACAGCACCCTCACTTGTCTGGAAAGCTTGGACAGTCTTGAATGTTTAAAGAAGTTTTATTTCAGTTCACATAACTCCAAAAGCATTTCAACTAGTTTTCATACATTAATTAAACAAGAGTATGAAATGCAGAGTATAAAAGAAATTCATTATGTGGATTCTTTAACCAGGTAACGTCAGATTTTCTTGCTCGAAAAAGCTGCTGGGGTGGTTTTTTTTTTTACCCACATATTCTTCAACCTTGCAATTGCACTTTGACCCAAACAAGCATGACGCATTAATGCACTAAACGCGGAAGTCAAAAGAAATTCTTAAACGAGTGTACACGCCCTCCGTGGAACAAATAAGGAAAATTACATATGTTTACACGTCATCCGCCGTCAAGTGGTCAACGTTGAGGACTGTGCAGTACAACCAAACATAGAAGTACCCTGTGTACTATAATTGTCATGGAGATCATTTTGCATCACTTTGCATCACTTTGTTACCTTGACATACCACTGGGATGCCTCCAAAAAAAAGCCCTTTACCATGATGTATTCAGCCACTGGGAGTATGTGCAAACCCACCAAAAGAATGGAAAACTACAAGCACAACCATAATACTGATGAAGGGTTAAATCAATGCATTCTTCTTACTGTTTATAATGCTATAAATGTTTGATGATGTCATAAGTCACATGACAAACCGCTCTCGGTGGATTTTTGAAATGTCAGTATCTTTTGAACTACATTTACATGTCTTATTAAGTAATACTTTTCTCCTTGGTTCCATGTTATATGTTCTGAGTTGAAGTGCACCCCGAGCGGTAAAAGACAGATGGTAGTAAGTTTTCAAAGCGGGTTCTTGCACGCGTTCTGTTTGTAAGCAAAGACTATATATTAAGGAAGAAATTCATTATGTGTAGTCAGCTTCAACTGATCCACTGATCTCCATCATTGACACAAACCTATGCGGCGAGTACCAAAAAAACCCACACCCTCTTTTGTTCCGCTCGGAGCAGATATACATGTACATGTAGGTCAAAATAGAGATGACATCATTTTATTTATAATGATTTGTTCTATTCTTGTTTTAGTCCATTTGTTGACATATACATGTATCCTGAAAAGAAAAGAATTCCCAACAGTCCTTTTACAAGACTTTTGTGAGAGGCAAAGTCACCATTTGTGGAATATTTTATGATGTCATGATGATGCCATCATAATACAAAATTTTTGTTTTGCATTTTAGATTATCTGATTATCTTGATACTTGGAGGGAAGACTTTGTATGCATAGCAAAATTGAAATGAAGTCAGCAGATTTTTTAAAAAGATTGTATGATTTATTCGATCTTTTTGTAATTATGCTGCTATTTCAAGTGAAGTTTCAACTCTTGAATTGAAACTTCACTTGAAAAAAGTACTTTGAGACTAAAGTGTCGTGTTGTCATTTGGTAATTTAATGTAAATCATGTTACTGATATTTTACGTTTTTCCTACAGCTAACCCAGACAGAAAGCTTAAGAAGTGGGAAAGCCCTGCATTCTGTGTAAACAGATGCAAACTGTAGTTTTTACTCAAATCTGTTATCCATGATTTTACTGATCCAGATCCCCACCAGATGAAGGCTTGATGCCCCTTGAAGATTGAACAGAGGTCCTCATTTGTTTAAGGCACAGTGGTGGATTTTTGTGGATTCAAAAAGCTCATACACTGTAGCATTTTAAGTTAACCATTATGAATAAAACAGCCAAATACTGCTCCAGATACAATTGTGCCAAAGTATGGTGATACACTTATCAGGAAATGATTTATTACCAAAAGACAACCTTCACATATTATTGTTTATTTACAAGTGCACATAAAACACTGTTGTTTACACTGCCTTCTATCCGGACAGAGAGTAAATACCAGTCTTGGGGAGGAGCTGCTAACACAAATTTTGTATCATGAGGAAAGCTGTCCCATGCGCTGTGCAAAGTTCGGACCAAGGCCTTACAGTTTAACCAGAGTTTGTATTGATGCAGTTTTTATTTCCTACCAACTTTACATACATAAAACATGTACATGTACAATGTACATGAACATGCTTTTTTGAGGGAAAAAATATTTCAGTGCTTTCCATATCTGTGCACTTAAAAACACTGCCTGAAAGTCCTCTTGAAATGTATCCTGAACTAACCGTGTACGTGTACAGCTACAAGCGTTGTGTAAATTACATTGCATTCCAAGGTCTTTCTGAATGCATACTTGACACATACATGTAGTTGGGGTGGACTTTTTTAAAGATGCACTTTCTACTTTTCTAACAAATTAAACAAAAGTAAAGAAAGTTCATGACCACTGTTTGTGTTGTGGAAATCTGACTTTACATCAGAAGAGAGAAGATGTACATGTGTGAAAGTTTCTCTGAAGTACATGTATTTGTCATTTTTTTGAGAACGAAAAGAAAATTCACATCTTAATGTGTTTTTTTTTTTTATAATTATGGTTGACAGGCCCTGTCCAGTTCCAATATTTATTTGGGCCAGTATGAAGTGGAAAAGGGAGTATTAACTCTAGCTTTGTTTCTAGTTTAATGAGATTGTTTTCACTGATGTTTGTCTCACAAGGATTTTATATCGACAAGTGAATGAGATTGTGTTTATAAGTTAAAGAAAAATGTGGTAAGGGATAGGTTATGTGCGAAGAAAAAAATATTTACAGTATTCATGTGACCATATGCCACAAAATCAGCTGCAAGTGGTAAGATATACAGGGTACACTTGCACTGAAGGCTCGTAAAGAATCTTACACAGTGTAAAGCTATGGAAACCTTCAACATTTGTTCACCCACATTGAATATTGTTTTTCATCAGGATGCAGAAATGAGTGACACATTAAAACAAAGAGTTCACTTTGTTTTTTTCTAATGCAAACCACATGTCACTGTTTGACCAAATTTTGTGAACATGGCCCAAGGACCCATTTTCTTGGTACCTACTTATATGATGACTGCATTCAAAAAGTTGAAACAAAGAAGTTGGCAATTAAACAGTATTTCTTTCTATATAAATATACATGTATTTCTTCTTATGTATACATGTATATGTACGTTTCTTTGAATTAGGTCAGGATGGTAAGGAATGTATGGTGTAGTATTGTTACCATGGTTTCTTTTTCCCATTTTGAATAGTTCTTGAAATAGAATGAAGGAGACACTTCCCCTCCTATACATACTTGTACATTACAAAAAAATTGTGTTAAATATTTCTGCACTGCTAATAAATGCTGAACAAACACAAAAAGCTTTCATGTTTCTTTTAACTTTGTTTTTTCATTGATAAGGAGAGTGAATAGTTGCTTATAGTGCAAAAATAATTAATGTGCTACAAAAAAAGAGCTGCACCGTACCCGTAGTAAGTAACCTTTTCTGCAGTATCAATGAAATTATGCTATACTGGGTGAGTTGAGTATTGAAATTGCCATTTTGTCTTTGGCTTTGACATCCCTGATATTTGTGAGTTCAGCTCTGAAACAGTCATACTTTCCAGAGCAGTATTCAATTTTAATGTAAGTCTACAATGTTTCTAACTGCATCTGAGACAAAGCCAGAGACGAAGATGAGAGTCAGAAAATCCCCAGCATTAAAGTGTAGTCACTGCTAGATTGGTTAGACTGTTAAACTGGTACCTTCACCTTCCCTGTAGGTTCTTAATGCATGTATGCACACAATGGAGGGGAACCAGGCAAATCTTTCATAGTACAGAATTCAAAACTAGACCCTGAGCAGGCTGGCCTTACTTGGCATGGGAATATCTTGAAATTGGTGAAACACTGTACACTTGCCACTCACAGACAAGCAGTATAATCATATCATACATGTAGATGTACTGACAGTCACAACTTCTGTGCTTGTGTGATTACGTAAAGACATCTGCCTACACAAATGTATGTACTCAGATTACTGTGCCCTCTCCTGTCTTAAGGCACTTTTTGTTCACACATGAAGTCGGTTCACTTCGAGCAGAAACAAGAGAGGGTGTACTTTTACACAGCAACGACAGTTTGTTAGGTGAGAACTCACCGCTTGCCGTACACAGGTTCATGTGTATTTTTATGCACACGTGACCAATTTCCACTTGGTGCCAACATTCATGGTTTGAATGTACGGTCTTGGCTTGTGCACTGTGGACGTGCACAAGCCCATTGCACCAAGTTGTTTCTTTACATTTCCAATGAAGGTATACTTCAATTCGAGGTGGATTCTCCAGAAGGTTAGCTTTACTGCATACAACCTATCTCCACCACTCACTATGATCCACTGATGGTCAGGACCGGGCTCAAATCTGGATTGTGACTTTTTTTTTACATCAACTCCTCCAGATGTTAAAAGACGGATCCTGAGGTTTGCCTGCTTGACTAGTTTCATCCTCCTCTGCTAATACATCTCCCAACTGAGCTGCATATGTCTTCATGAAGAAAAAAAAACAAGAAAACAATGCCCAATACGTGTACATGTAAATCTAAAACTGATATGATGGCGAACAATGTGGCTCTCTTGAACTCACACTATCCCTATTCCAAGGTCACAGAGAGAATAAAGTATTCAAAGGAGTGTGGCTCAATGAAACAATTCTTTTGGCTCAAAACTTCTCACAGTTGAAGTGAAAATTTTGAGAATGTTTAAACTGAAAGAAATTATTATTGAGGAATTCACATGACAAATTATTTGGAGAGTAAGACTTTTTAACTTTAATAATTTCTTTTCTCTCCAAGTTAGGGGTCAAAGAAGAAAGCTTACTGTTGTTATTGGAAGTATGTCTGAACAAATTATTCTTCAGGCTCAAACCACTAGACAGTATACAAGTATTTGAGAATATTTAAAATAGAAAGAAACAATCAACCCCTTGTTGAAATACTCAAAGTCACATATTCCTCATTCATGGTGAAAACATATTTTAGAGGGCAAGACAACTTTTTATTATGTTTTCTTTTAACCTTTTCAATTTCTTTTTTAGGTTGGGAGGGATTGACAAAAATCTTTGGATTCCTCAGAAGTGACAAAGTATCATCATTCTATGGCTAATTCTGGACAGGAATAAAGAGTATGGAAACAACTGTTTTCAGACTGAAAGCAGCAATTCTTTTCAAATCAAGCCGTACCTTGTTTTTGTTTCCTTCACCCCTCAGAGATTGAGACCTCATTGCGTAGGCTGACCCTGGTCGAGAGAAATGGGCAAGGTCTGTCTGAGGGATGCTAGGGTCATAGTCTTTCACCTACAGATGGACAGATAAAAGCAGAACAACAAGCACCCAAGGATATTTGAAAACAATTCCAAATTCTGAATGGAATTATCATTGTTTATACTTTTGAGGGAGAGGGAAGATTTATTAATTCAATGAAGTTCTGGAGACATTCTGCCACAATTACAAATACGATGTACAGTACATCTGTGCTGTAGTCAGCACAACGAATACCAAGCAACCTTCATCAGAAGTACATGTATAATGTTCTTTACAGGAGAAAATTAAGCTTTCAAAGATAACATCCACATACATGTATATATCTGTACACATCTAAACAATGGGAAATGCATAAGTCAGCATACAGTAGATACCTTCTGTACGATATTGAGTCGGATAAGGTCTGCCTTGGGTGTTCTTTTGCATCCTTCAGCAGCAAAGAATGGCCAAATGGTCTCAAGTGCCGAGGCAAAGTCAACTGCTGTCCTGAAAAGTAAAAGACGGGAATTTTTCACTTAATGCATGTTCATGTACTGTACTGTACTTTGCAGGTTTTAAAAGAAGCGTTACAGCACCAAAATAAGGAAAAACAGTGAAATGAAGTGAAATGAGGTGCCAAACCCTCTCAAATGGACCAACAGATTAGCCAACGATAAGATTGAGTAAAATGAAGTTGAACCTTCTACATTTAAACATGTTTCTGAAGACAGTAGTTGATCTGTTAGCAATTGATTTTTTTGTTTATGAAAGGTAGTCATAGTAGCGGCGGTGGTGGGAGAATTAGATGACAGTAGATTTTTACTATTTACCTTCCTCTGTTGTCTTTCAAGGTGAGGTCCGGTTTGCTCTCCATGAGTTTCATGAGAACTTTGCCGTGTCCCTGGAAGGCAGCACAGTGGCAAGCTGTCCACAGCGTGCCACTGTTACTCTGGTTGACATTTGCACTACAAGGGACAAAACAACAAATTGTCATTCGTGACACATACGCGTACAATACAAGTGCATGTACTTCTGAACACCTTAAATTGTTTATTTAAATGCCTCACACAGTTCAACAGCCTTTAGGTTGAGAGTCCATCAGGTGAGGGGCTTTCAACATCATAAAACTATCAACCAGTTTAAAATATGTGTAATTTCCCGGTTTCAGACGCAATTTTGAAACCAGTATTTTGGAATCTACATGTTACTCTCATACAAGTACTGGAACATGATAATAACTGTCTTAATTGCTACTTTTTCTGAAAAAAGAAGAAGACATGTACATGTATATTCACTCTTTGCACGCTGCCGCCATAGGCATGCAGAACCTTGATCTAACAGCATAATGAAGCCGGTTCAGTGATTCATGTGTAGGCCTACATGTACATGTATGTTGTTTAGTAATTTTGCATGTGCTGTGTCGGCTCTTGTACCATGCAACTGGGCAATATTTCCAAAGCTGCTTGCAGGCAATTCTGGCACGATTTTACAAGCTGCAAGTTTGAGGCTCTGCATGCCTATGGCGGAGTGTGCAAAGAGTGAATTATGTAAAAAAGAAAAAAAGGGAGGGGGGAGGAGACAAGGTGAGAGACATGTATGCATGACTGGGAAGTCCACAGTGTAAACCTTTACATGGCAGAGCTCAATGACCCATTCCATTCCAAAGAGTTAAGCTTGGAAGACTTTCTAATAGCTTCCAAGCAACCAACACGTTCCCAAAGAGTGGTTTTGTTCATAAAACTCAGAACGTTAGTGATTGAAATGTTTTCTGACCCCCCCCCAAAAAAAATCAATGAGATATTTCTCCCTGTCAACTTTGGGCACACAATTTCATGAAAAAGAAAGAGGCAGCTTGCACAATAGTTTCTAACACGTCACACTTATCGTCAAACAGGCTTTCGTAATTCAACTGATTATCGTGCTGGGCATGACGGCTCGATCTTTGCGCAATCTCACTGCACAACTGGTTGATGATTCTGCCATTAGACAAACACCTTTTCTTTTCAATTCATGGTTGCTTCAAAGAGGGAAGTACACGTAAAGTGTGGGATATTATACTGATGGCGCAAAGTGATGGCGTGATCATGCTGATCAAGTGATCACACTTGGCTAATTCAACTTCTGCTTCTCACTGGAGAAATAAACTGGCTCAGCCTTTGGTCCTAGCCACTTTCATACCCCACTTGTATCCACCTGTCAATGCACTAGTTTGAAACCACTCTCTCCCACTTCTATGGTGTATTTTCACCATTACCAAGCCTTTCTTCTATCTACTACTATGACTGTAGGCTCATTAAATATTCCTACCAGTACATACATGTACAATGTACTTGCTCACCCGTGTCTTAAGAGATACTCCACTATCTCACTGTAGCCCCAGAAGGCAGCATTGCAGAGTGGTGAGAAGCCGTTGCTGGACTTGAAGTTGACATCTGCACCCTGGGCCACAAGAGACTGAACAAGCTGTTATACAAGGAGACAATGAAAGGGGTCGTCAGCGCAGACTGCTTTTAAAAAGGTGACCATTGCAAAAATCAAAAGATTTTAATACTGCTATTCATCATACCCTTTAGAATTAAATGCAAAGAACTGAAAAAATCTGACAAACTTACCACCCGGTTAATGTTTCAAATTATAAACATGTTGTAAATGTGCAGCATAATCTGTCTATATGATTCCTTTCATGAGATCCCATTCTACACATGTATGAATGTCAAAACATCAGTGTTACGGTAGATGTCCTCCATATTGTACAGAGTGTTGTCATACACACAAATCTTCACTAAGCTGCGACCACAAGTTTTTTGAACTGATCAGTAACCAGTTTTGCTGTAATCAGATAGAGAGTGTTGGGAATTTTCATAGATTTTCACTATCCTGTCCATTTGTGGAGAGGATATTATCTGAACATTTTATTTCCTGAAAAAGATTTCAATTCAATCTCAGCCTGACCTTTCAAGTTATTCAACACATGCATACATGAATGTTTGCACTCGAGAATAATAGTGCAAGTACATGAACAATGGAATCTGTACATACTGGTAAGTAATCCTAATGTACACGCGCATGTACATGTATATATACAAACTTGTCTTTCGATAAAGGGTTATTGCTGGCATTTGAAACTGGCTCTCCACATGATGTGCCTTGTTTGCTTTTGTACGGTGTATACATCTGTTTATGTGTACAAAACAAGGGGTCTAAAAATGGCTTGTGGAGTGTCCAAGAAGTCCAGATGCCAGTCTGGTGAGAACATTTATTGGTTCACTGTTCTGGAACTACATGTACATTCCTGACTCAACTGTGAGTGGTCCAGTTTCAAAGCCCAGTTGTAACATGATGTTTTTTATTCCCCCGATATGGAATACTCTTTTCAATTAAAGTTTACACTTAATTGTGGTATGTATTATACAAATTGCCGAAATCTAGTCACAAATTTATCTTTTTCGTTTTTAACAGCCAATATGGAACTGATGCCACAAGTGCTCAAATTCTCCTGAAGACTGTTTGGCCATCAGGTATCAAGGAGAGTGATCATGTTTTGATTCCTGGGTTGGCCAATTTCAACTTTTGTTTCCCTAACCAAAAAGTCACTTTTACACTATTAATACATGTACATGTACATGTATGTGACGCCCCTGCTTGTTACGAGACCCCGCCACTTACTATTGCTACATGTACTGTCTATGTACATGTTACATGTACATGTACATGTATTTACATGTACTTTAATGGAAATAAAGTGAAATGGAGTAAAAATTAAATATTTATTTTAAGATTTTTGATTTGCAGCTGCCCCAAAAGTCTGAAAGTACATACATACATGTAAGAACTTGGAGGCATGTGGGCCACATTTGTATGCCTTTAAACTTTCTCGGTCTACAGGAAAAGATATTAGATGAAAGAACTCAACCAAATATACATGTACCTACATGTACCTGTACATGTACAGTACCACTAATTTTTCCCTGTAATAACATGGGTACATGTATCAGTGATCCAAAAGCAATGAAGTGGGAGTACATGTAGGGCAGTCTGACCTGTTTTAAAGGAAATCTCATGCAATTTTAGGATTATCAGAAAGAGCATCATGTGACAAACAGAAAACACTTTATTCAGCTTTATTTATGCCTTATTACATGTACATGTATGTCAGTATGTTAAGGGCCGACAATTAATTGAAATAGCCCCAGAGCTAGAGTTTGTAAAGTACACAGGCCTACTGCAGAAAAGGCAGAAGACTCAATTTCTAAACTTATTAATATCAAAAGTTCCCTTGTTATGATGTGTCAAAAGTAGTATGGTTAGTGTGGCCCAGGCATTATCTGTGATTGATGGTACGTCAGCACAGTCTGCATGGTCAGGAAGTTTGGCATGACTGGGAAAGGCCTTCTACTTCTACCAGTACATGTGCATGTATGCTGAAACTTAGCGAGGTCTTTATTTTGTGTACATGTACATGTACCCTAACATGTCTGGTCCCAAACATGGCACACATTCATTTTTGGCTTTTTGTATTTACAGAGCAAGATTTTAGGCTCAAAGTTCACAATTAGTGAAAATTCTGACACTGATTCATAAATCTCGATGTTACATACCCGGCACGTGTACCTGCAACGTGCAGACTGAACTCATTTCAAATGTATGATGCTTTAGAAGAGTTTATCAACTTGTTTATTCAGGACTGTCTAAGATTTTTTTTCAAGTGCCCCACGTTAGGAAACACTGAGCTGAATTCAAGCCCAATTTCTGGACCCCAATATTTTGGATTTTGAATGAAAGTTAATGACACTGAAATTGCTTACAAAGGTTCAACACCATTTTATCATGAAGGCACATAAACATCAGTAGTTTTGATGAGTTTTTCAAGAGAGAGGTTTGGCAATGCTGCGTGATTTAAGAAAGACAAATAAACATTGAAATGCGCCTTCATGTACACGTACAATGTACATGAATGAAACAGTAGGGTAGCTAGATTCATAGACCCAGACACTGGTGACACTATTCCTGATACGTGTATGCTGTTTCTTGAATCTTTGTGTGACTGTCATTTTTGACTGTGATAATACCATTAAGGTACATGTACTTGTACAATGTACAAAGAATGAAAATGTGACTTAAAGAATCAACGTACATGTATGTACCTTAACTGACTGAAAACTATTTTGCCCAAAATACCAGTATCTACAATATTCAACCACAAAATGACATATGTTGACAGAAATCTTAATTTCAGACAAATCTGTTTAACTGAATTAATATCCTTACATGTATACGGTACTTGTATGTACGTGTACAATGTACACGTACCTTGATTTAAATTTTTCATTTTACTTGTGGTGCATATCGTGGAGTACCCTAAGTTCAGGCATACAAATATCTGCCCATGCAGAATCTGAGATATTTCCTTTGAGTGGTGGCTGGTGCGTACATGTAGGTACATGGTTTGCAACTCTGTCGTCTGTTCTTATTTTCCTCATGAAAATTTTGTTTTTCTGTTTCATATACTCACAAAAAGACAATTTGCAAACAGAAATTAACAATTCCATTTGATAAAAAGGTACATGTAGGAGAGATTATCTCAGACATTTAGAACAATGTGCTGCTTGCTTCTTGTGTACGAAAAAGAGCCCTGCTTTGGGCACATGGTCCACCGGGGTGGCTCGCAATGCCATTTGTTATTTAAGTGATCACGCTTCCACGTACCTGGGTAAGCCTGTTCGATATGACGATATTTCATGATATTTCCATATGATGTTGATATTGGATATCATATCATTCATAAAAACACATATCGGGATATCGTGCAAATTGATATATGCCAAAAGTTATCGCGATAAGCTCCCAACAATGCACGGTAAATGCACATAGGGAAGTCAATGCACCGTGTGTTGAGCCCATGCCAAAAAGCTACACTGTAAATGTCACTTCTACATGTAGGTCCTGTGATTTAAGTAAGATAGAAATCTGAATGAAACTTTTCCTGTTTTGTTGGACCATAGGGCTAGCTTGATCTCCCATAGCTTAATGAAAATTGAACTTCAGTTGCTTACACGTACACGGCATCCTTAAACATACAAATGTTAACGGAATTCTGTCAACCATAAAAACATACCATTTATTTTTGATGGACCATTTAAAAAGCGAAAGACCTGTGGTTTACACATGTACATGTACTTACATGTCATTATAGACGGAGTGAAGGTGTGCCTTAAAGTAAATGTGTACCAGTGTGAATTATATTTAATATTTTGAAGCTGAGATGCTACTGAAAATGTTGTTTCGGACATTACATTTTCCGTAAACAAGCTAGGACCTAATATCCTTCACTTGGACTGTGAGTAAATTATCTAACATCAAAGAGAGAACATGCACATAAAAAACTCAAAAATGATGACTAAAAAGATATTTGTGCACTTTTTGTGCACATTGTTGATATCAAAAAATTTTGTTGAAATGACAAGACTACATCATTTTCCGTAAACAATTTTGAAACGTTCGAAACAATTAAAATTTTGCAGTATTTTGAAAGAAAGGAATAATTTAAGCTATTCACAATTTTATTTTGGAAGCATCTACACATATTGTAGGCCTATGCGTAGTCTAATTACATCCCTTAAGAACAGTCTTTCTATAGAGCCCACGTACATGTACATGTACATGTATCTGTATACTGTTAAGTGGTTTTCCACTAGGCGCCCAAATACTGCAAAACGACAACATGTACCGGTACCATCACCAATCCAGGCGCCAACCTGGAACCGTGAATTCACAATCTCTTACATGTACATGTATGTCAGATTCTATTACATGTACAATGTATTTGAATAGAAAAGCCCTTAATATTTTTTTGGGGGGGGGGATTACTTTTTGACAAAAAAAAATTCACTGGTTAGTTGCAGTTGTATGATTTCTGCACGTAGATAACGATGACGGCAGGAACCAATTTTGTTCCTTGCCCAAAACATGGCGACTGAACACCATGTCTACTCCAAAAGTGGTAATTTTTGGGTTCAAAAATTTTGAAACTTCGACACAAAAAAAAGAAGTGCGGTGTGTAAGACATGTAGCATTAAAAAATTATAAAATTAAACATTATTTAGAAAAATTGACTCGAGACTTGACAAAAAATGACTTGAGACTTGACTTGCTAAAATTTGACTTGGGACTTGACTTGACTAAAAATGACTTGGTTACAACACTGAGAATCACTCACATTTAAACTTCCGCTGGCAGCAGCTGTTGCTAGGTCCACCGGTGCAGCCATAGCAGCTACAGTACATGTATCTGATTTTCCTCGGCCTGTTGGAGGCGCACTCGTTGTGTTAACGGTGGGCTCGCACGCGCGCTCGGGGTTGTACCACTGATTGTCCATATAATAGAGATCAGTGGGTAGTACAGGTGGATTAGAAACGGATGCTTGCTCCAGCCAAATCACATAATGCACTCAAATTCTCAACGAAATACAGACAAATTTTGTTAAACATACAGACGACCAAAATGAATGCCAGCTTGTGAGATTTGGAAGAAATCAGCGTCTAAAAATTGTCTAATGCTCGCTGAGAAGTGTAGGCAAAATGTATTTCAAAATGGTGAGGGCTTACTGCTTTTTACCGTTACACTACACACCAAAATAATACGAGCTCATGCAAAATCGGACAAACTAGCGCCGCCTGTTGACTCTCGGTAAGAGGTTGGCCTCCGTTTATTTTCACTGGAAATTCAAAATTAAGGCCAGAAGATCACTTATCGTTTCACTTTTATGGGGGTTAGCCACGACATTTTGTTTATTCGCCTTTCCCCGAAGATACCCCTAAAATAGTAGTATAACTATGCTCTCAGCTGTGAATGTAGCCGCCCACTTCCATCCAAAATACGCCCGCAATTTGGTTCTTTTTGCGAAAGAAATACACCGAATTGGAAACAACCAGTCCCAAATTCGGGATTTATAGAAATATTTCTATGATCCCTCCTGGTTATGACATGTCTTATTGTAAATTTCCCGCGGGATCACAAAATATTAATGAATACGCGCGCAGAAATACAGCAATTTGGTGGAATGATTCCAGTTAGGGATAACACTCTCTGGACTGAAACAAAATATGCCTTCAAAAAAAAAATGGAAACTGGAAAATGAAAAATCATGAAAGAGTTTCCAGAGTTTTTGACGTTCAGGTATATACCAGTTTCTTCACCCCTCAAAATAAAGTATTCGTTCCGGATAGATATCACCCAAAACGTGCGTTATTACGGTTACGAGTAAGAAAATACTGAGGCCCATATTGCCTGTGCGCGAATCACGACTTGCAGCGGTCAAGTTCTGTGTTGGGAGCATTTTATATCACGGGGACAGGACAGTTGGAAACAAGAGTAATAAAACCCACCTGTGAAAATGCCAGCTTGTACTTTTAAATGTATCAGACGAAACAGGGCCCACATCGCTCTATTTTCCAATGGAGAGTAGGCATCCATTTTCAAAAAGGCGATGGGCCTCACGTAGAAGGCTTCGAGGGGTGATCTTTGGAGAGAAATATATCCAACGGGTTAACCCACTTAAATCACTACATACAGTTTCCAATGATAATTGGAATAATATCACTCTAACTACAATGGATGTGGATATTAAACTTACACCACAGGATAGAAGAACATGAGTCTGATGATGCAAATATTTCCGGATTTGGACCATTTTCAGGTGTTTTATGAAGAGATGAAGGGAGCAAAGTATGTTCAGGAAGATTTAACGCAAGGTTTGGACTTGTCAGAACTATAGTGAAATTTGAAGCAGTAGGGCAAAAGCTTCACACTTCTTTTGACAATATCTCTGTAACTACAACAATTACGAATATGAAGCTCACGCCATTAGATAGAGGAACATGTGAACTCTGCTATGATGCAGAGATTTCCGGCTTTGGACCATTTTCAGGTCTTTTATGAAGGTATAAAGGGAGCAATGTATATGCAGGAAGATACAATACAAGTTGTGCACAGGGCACAACCGGAGTAAAATTTCTAGCAGTAGTGAAAGAACTTCACACGTCTTCCGAGAATATCTCTCCAACTACATCAAACGTGGATATGAAACGTACACCATTGGATAGAGGAACAAGTGAAGTGTTCTATGATGCAAAGATTGCCGGACTTAGACCAGTTTCATTTTGTTTACGGAGGGATATAGGGAGCAATATTTGGCAGAAAGTTTGAATACAAGGTTGTCGGAAGGAACAAAAGGTGCAGAATTTCAAGCAGTAGGGCAAACACTTTACACTTCTTTCGAGAATATCTCTCTAACTACAACGAATGTTGTAGTTATTGGATAGAGGAACATGTGCACTGTCCGATGATGCAAAGAATACCGTATTTGGACCATTGTTGGTTTTTTATGGAGGGATATGGGGAGGAACGTATGTGTGGGAGGTTTGAACGTAAGGTGTGCACAACTTATATCACTGGATAAAGGAACATGTGAGCTGTCTGAAAATGCAAAGATTGCCGAGTGTGGAGCATTTTCAAGTCTATTATGAAGGGATATAGGCAGCAATGTATGAGCAGGAACTTAGAATCCAAAGTGTTCACAAGGCAAGCAGCAAGACAAAAACTTAACAATTGTGATGGAAGGACAGGTGGCCTATTCAAAAATGCAAAGATTGCCGGATTTGGACCATTATCAAGTCTTTTATGGAGGGATATAGGGAGCAATGTATGTGCAGGAAGGCTGAATCCAAGGTGTGCACATGGAACAACCGCTGCCAAATTTAAAGGCAAAAACTTCACACTTCTTTCGAGAATATCTCTCTAACTAAAAACGAATGTTGATATGAAACTTATATACCACTGGATAGAAAAACATGTGAGATGTCAGAAAATGCAAAGATGGCCGAGTTTGGAACATTTTCAAGTCTATTATGAAGGGATATAGGCAGCAATGTATGCACGGGAAGTTAGAATCCAAAGTGTTTACAAGGCAAGCAGCAGGACAAAAACTTAACAATTCTTTCGAGAATATCTCTCTAACTACAACGAATGTAGATGTGAAACTCATACCACTGGATGGAGGGACGTGTGACCTAATCAAAAATGCAAACGTTGCCGGATTTGGAGCATTATCGAGTCTTTTATGAAGGGATATACTGAGCAATGTATCTGCAGGAAGGTTGCATCCAAGGTGTGGACAAGGAACAACCGCTGCCAAATTAAAAGTAGTAGGCAAAAACTTCACACTTCTCTCGACAATATCTCTCTAACTACAACGAATATGGATGTGTATCTTATACCACTGGATGGAGGGACATGTGAACTATTCAAAAATGCAAAGATTGCTGGATTTGGACCATTATCAAGTCTTTTAGGGAGGGATATAGGGAGCAATGTATGCGCAGGAAGTTAGAATCTAAAGTGTTCACAAGGCAAGCAGCAGGACAAAAACTTAAACAATTCTTTCGAGAATATCTCTCTAACTACAACGAATGTGGATGTGAAACTTATACCACTGGATGAAGGACATGTGAACTATTCAAAAATGCAAAGATTGCTGGATTTGGTCTATTATCAAGTCTTTAATGGAGGGATATAGGGAGCAATGTATGCGCGGGAAGGTTGAATCCAAAGTGTTCACAAGGCAATCAGCAGGACAAAAACTTAACAATTCTTTCGAGAATATCTCTCTAACTACAACGAATGTGGATGTGTATCTTATACCACTGGATGGAGGGACATGTGAACTATTCAAAAATGCAAAGATTGCTGGATTTGGACTATTATCAAGTCTTTTATGGAGGGATATAGGGAGCAATGTATGCGCTGAAAGTTAGAATCCAAAGTGTTCACAAGGCAATCAGCAGGACAAAAACTTAAACAATTCTTTCGAGAATATCTCTCTAACTACAACGAATGTGGATGTGTATCTTATACCACTGGATGGAGGGACATGTGAACTATTTAAAAATGCAAAGATTGCTGTATTTGGAGCATTATCAAGTCTTTTATGGAGGGATATAGGGAGCAATGTATCTGTGGGAAGTTTGAATCAAAGGTGTGCACAAGGAACAACCGCTACAAAATTGAAAGGAGTAGGCAAAAAATTCACACTTTTTTCGAGAATATCTCTCTAACTACAACGAATGTGGATATGAAACTTATATCACTGGATAAAAGAACATGTGAGCTGTCTTAAAATGCAAAGATTGCCGAGTTTGGAGCATTTTCAAGTTTATTATGAAGGGATATAGGCAGCAATGTATGCGCGGGAAGTTAGAATCCAAAGTGTTCACAAGGCAAGCAGCGGGACAAAATTAACAATTCTTTCAAGAATATCTCTCTAACTACAACGAATGTAAATGTGAAACTTATACCATAGGATGGACGGACATGTGAACTATTCAAAAATGCAAAGATTGCCGGATGTGGAACATTATGGAGTCTTTTATTGGGGAATATAAAGAGCAACATATGTGCAGGAAGTTAGAATCCAAAGTCTTCATAAGGCAAGCAGCAGGACAAAAACTTAACAATTCTTTCGAGAATATCTCTCTAACTACAACGAATGTGGATGTGAAACCTATACCACTGGATGGAGGGACATGTGAACTATTCAAAAATGCAAAGATTGCTGGATTTGGACTATTATCAAGTCTTTTATGGAGGGATATAGGGAGCAATGTATGCGCTGAAAGTTAGAATCCAAAGTCTTCACAAGGCAAGCAGCAGGACAAAAACTTAATTCTTTTGACAATATCTCTCTAACTACAACGAATATGGATGTGTATCTTATACCACTGGATGGAGGGACATGTGAACTATTCAAAAATGCAAAGATTGCTGGATTTGGGCTTTTATCAAGTCTTTTAGGGAGGGATATAGGGAGCAATGTATCTGTGGGAAGTTTGAATCAAAGGTGTGCACAAGGAACAACCGCTACAAAATTGAAAGGAGTAGGCAAAAAATTCACACTTTTTTCGAGAATATCTCTCTAACTACAACGAATGTGGATGTGTATCTTATACCACTGGATGGAGGGACATGTGAACTATTTAAAAATGCAAAGATTGCCAGATTTGGAGCATTAATAAGTCTTTTATGGAGGGATATACTGAGCAATGTATCTGCAGGAAGGTTGAATCGAAGGTGTGCACAAGGATCAACCGCTGCCAAATTAAAAGGAGTAGGCAAAAACTTCACACTTCTCTCAAGAATATCTCTCTAACTACAACGAATGTGGATATGAAACTTACACCATTGGATGGAGGGACATTTGAACTATTCAAAAGAGCAACGATTGCTCGATTTGGA